GTCTTATTCAAAATTAGACAGTTTCTGTACGATTGGCTCACGATTTCAAGATTAAACATTTTAATTAAATTCGTGTATAATGTAAGAGTATGTCTATAAAAATCTACATGTTTCAGAAGAAATAAAAACAGTATTTTACTTTTTTACTACAATAAAGCTAAAAAATGCGATATTGCAATTTCCACTGGATTGGTGTGTGTGTGTGTGTTTTATAGTAAAACCACATCGGGATATCTCCTTTGTCCACCGAGGAGTATCGAATCCCTGATTTAAGTGTTTTAAGTCCGTAGGCTTACTGCTATCTCACTGGGGGATCCACTGGATAGGAAACAACATTAGTTATAAAATAATTTAACCTGATCTTAGTTTTAAAGTCTGTTCTTTCACTAGCGAGACACAGCGAATCAAAGGTTACAGATACTGAACTTAGACCTGTACCTGACTGACATTGACCTGGAACGATAAGGTAATCTTGTAAAAGGCGTCCACACTGTAACAATTGTTGTTGTATCAAATGATTTATATAAATAGAGTTCCAAGAACTGCTGTGTTTGTTTTATTCCAGCCGGCCTGATGAGCTCTGGATTAATCAAAATGCATCGTCGGCAATAGATACGACACATATTAGTGTGGTTGCAATACTATTGTTATATAGTCGTCTAATTCTTGAAAATCCATAAAGGGCTAGATATAGAATGTGAAGTTTAATTAAATGTATAATAGGCCTAATAGTAATGTCTTATGACAAGTATAATTATGGCCATATAGAGCAGTTATGCACTTTCAAAATATGTTGGTATACTATATTAACTACTATCTTCTTCAATATATTTTTGTAGTTGGTAATAGCTGTTATCTACACTCAAAATGTGTTGATAATTGATAAGAAATGTTACCTGATATCTTTGTAGACTGATACTGAATGTTTTATTTTCTACATGCTGTTGATTGATAACAACAGTTAGAAGATTTGGATAAATGACAGTTAAAACAGCCCGATAACGTAAGTGCTACAATAAGGGATTATTTGACAGGGTTTCATTAAAGAAAAGATCTCTCGTAATTGTTAGGTTTGAAACTAATCCTTATCTACTCATATAATCGTGCATGATTTTCAGTTTTTAAAGAGTCCACACCTGAAATATGGTTGGTAGTAACTGCACAAATAATATAATCTGAAAAGCGAGTGAAGTACGTTAAAATTCTGGTAACAATGCCCTCTGGTGTTCGGGGTTATTTTCATTTGTGTAAGGCGGGTATCCCTAGTTTTTCACTTTGTTATCGTTGCTAAATTATGCAGAAGTAATATATATAACACAGTATAGCATAATTGCTGAGTTTTCTGCATAAACCTTTTTTAATATGAGAAAAACTAACAACAATAAGTAAACTAGCAAGAGGAACAACCATTGGATCAAGCATTGAGAAAGAAGTAATTAACAAGAACAAGAGTTTTTCTAATTCATTTAGTAAGGGTTATCCTTAAGCGAACGGTTTATTTTGGTATTTAAAGGTTAGAATTGTGTGGTAACAAGGGTATCAAAAATTACATTTTTACTGGTGAGCTTGTTAACAATTGTATATATTGATTGCAGCTGCTCTTGGGGTTTAGTAAAAATGGTGATTCTTAACTTGCAAGTTACGAAATGTGTTGTTGAGATGCCACGTGCATGTAATCACAGCACTTAATGGATTGGTGAAGATGAGGAGAACACATAGTCAACAAAGTTTTACCTCTCTGAAATAATCCAGTGTTAATTAATGTCGTAGAAGTGCATGTGGTTTAATGAAAAGTCTATAAATCTTTTACATTTGTGGAGTTTAATATTTGTCATTGGTTGTATTGATTATTGTTATGAATATAATATTTTGTATTAATAGAAAATAAGGATACAGTAATGAGTGAAATTTTACATTTGTGGAGTTTAATCTTGTATTTGTCATTGGTTGTATTAATTATTGTTATGAATATAATATTTTGTACTAATAGAAAATAAGGATACAGTAATGAGTGAAATTTTACATTTGTGGAGTTTAATCTTGATTTTGTCATTGTTTGTATTAATAAATGTTATGAATGTAATATTTTTATACTAATAGAAAATAAGGATACAGTAATGAGTGAAATTTTACATTTGTGGAGTTTAATCTTGTATTTGTCATTGTTTGTATTAATAAATGTTATGAATATAATATTTTGTACTAATAGAAAATAAGGATACAGTAATGAGTGAAATTTTACATTCGCTGATAAAACATGAAGTTGTTGAAGCAATAGCTCAAAATGAGAAATATATGGTACTCATACAGTTAGTAATTGAATACAATATGGAAGTGTTCGAGCTATTTAGAACAGAATACAAGAAACAATGCCCATAATATTTGTATGACGATATGCCATTAACATGTGTAACGACATATAAGAACCACATAAAAGTCGATCTTTAAAAAGAAACCTCTTTTAAAGTAGTGTACAGTTTTACTTTTCATAAATGTTAAAACTTTGTGGGTTTTCCGTTCTGTCCAATTTATCCTAGAGAAGAACCTAAATCACTTTATAATCCAGATAATTTAACACATTCACAGTTTACCATAACGTTATGACGTTTACACAAATCCTTCTCATTTCAGTAATATTTCTGCATACTGCGACAGATCTGTGCGAAACGATTCATTTCTGTCTATTCACTGAAACATTCCATTGCACAGCGAAAGCAAAATAGAACCAGTAATTAACATTAATTAACCTAAGTTGTGTTCTCTAATATGTGTTTCCATACATATTTATACTCCATAGCAGTATGATACATGAAACATAACGATTACAAAGAACGTCTGCGAAAGAGTGATCTTGAGACAATTTCTTAAGTAAATCACGTGTTCAAGAGTTTTCCGAACCACAGAAGTCCTATCCGTCTATCCTTCCTAAATTGAAAATTTATTACATAAACGTAACGTAATTACAAGACTAATGAGATAAAGACATTTTGGCTTTGAAGGCAAGTTCATTGTACTTCTCATGTGCTTTCCATGTTTTTTTTTCTTTAGTTACAAAGAAGCAGACGTCCGCACCCGAGTTTCTTCTTTTTATATTTGGCGAATCAAAATTGCTAAATGCCTTTGTGGATGTACGAACAGCTTTATTTTACTACACAAGAAGGATCATGCGTGGCCCTAGTGAGTAGTTTGTCTGGATTGTGATTCCGTCCGTGGGTCCATGGTTCGTGACTTTCCACACTTTGAAACAGTGAGTGCGTATAAGAGTGATGTTCAAAATTTACTATTCGAACAGATAAGGGTAGACCAATAATTTTTTACTGGTTGCTGTTGATTAGATACCCTCCTTCTTGTCTGTCAGCTCAAAATAAGATTATGGCTAAGCATAGATAACCCTATGTAGCTTGGCGGGAAATTCAAAACTATACAATAATATAAAAGATGGGTTAAAAGGTGCTATACATTTGTTTTATTTAAAACAGTTTTGATTTCTAACGTTTTGCTGTGAAACTTGTTTAAAGTTGCCTTCGTAATGTTTTCTTTAGTACCAACCGTGTAATTAATATCAACTATAAAACAGTATAGTACCAACCATGCAATTAATATCGACTATACAAACCGTATAGTACCAACCATGCAATTAATATCGACTATACAAACCGTATAGCACCAACCGTGTAATTAATATCAACTATACAAACCGTATAGTACCAACCATGCAATTAATATCAACTATAAAAACAGTGTAGTACCAACCATGCAATTAATATAAACTATAAAAACAGTGTAGTACCAACCGTGTAATTAATATCAACTATAAAACAGTATAGTACCAACCATGCAATTAATATCGACTATAATAACAGTATAGTACCAACCATGCAATTAATATCAACTATACAAACCGTATAGTACCAACCATGCAATTAATATCAACTATAAAAACAGTGTAGTACCAACCATGCAATTAATATCAACTATACAAACCGTATAGTACCAACCATGCAATTAATATCAACTATAAAAACAGTGTAGTACCAACCGTGTAATTAATATCAACTATAAAAACAGTATAGTACCAACCATGGAATTAATATCAACTATACAAACCGTATAGTACCAACCGTGTAATTAATATTAACTATAAAAAACCGTATAGCAGTTTTTGGCTCATTCTGTATTATCAACACTTAGCTGCAACCACTGCGTTGTCCGAACCGAAATATTTTGTTTATCGTTTTTTAATACAAAACTACATCTTGAGCTATCTGCTCCATTTCCATCGCGGGAAATTGAACGACGGATTTTAATTTTTTAAGCTCTCAAGACACCAGGGAGACTGCTAAACAGAAAGAGACGCTCTGCAGGAATCCATCTCGTTCTGATAATCACGCCGGGTGATTTAAGTGAATCAATACTTTAAAAACTGTTTCTTTGGTATCTTTAAAAGACGGTTATTTCACAGTTTGGCTGTTAATTTATATTAACTTACCTCTTATTTATTTTCCGATATCTATTTATCACTTAAAATATTTAATGTTATTTTCTGTGAAGTGAGCGTTGAATGAATTGTATTTTACGTTTTTAATCGTGTTAAAATAAAGATGTTAACAATTTAAATGATTTATACTTAAAATAATTGAAACGTAGGTTAAAATTAAAGTTAAAGGAAGTATGTTACTTCAATGGAACTCGTCAAGCTTAAAATAATTATGAAGAAAAGTATAGTATATATATATATATCTATATCAAATAACTGTTTGATTTCTCTATAACATTTTTCTCTAAGTGTTTTAACAGTGTAGTTTTAGCTTTTTCCTTTTCAATTTAAACATGTTCACGTCTATGCTTCTTATAACTGTACATTAAGTAAATTAATTTATTGATAATATCAGTAAGGAACTTTTTATGTTCTATTTCTTTATATTCAGTTTCTATCACGTGTAATTACTGATTCATGATGAATTATTGAATTTTATTTTATAATGAAACTTTGTACATACCACCTCGGACACCACCGCAGGAGATTGGCTTGCTTGCCCACTGGACGGTTTCCGTTCCTCCTGGCTTGCCATTACTGCTTCGCGAAAATGTGTCTTCCTAACCTTCTTGAATTCTGGAGATAAGGTTTCTTTAACTCTTAAGTTTTGTTTTGCAAACTCCTAAGGTCTTTTTTTTTGTGAATATTGATAACTATGAAACCAGCCACAATATTATTGGATGACGAGAAAACCTGACCTTCTCATATTTTCCTAAGTGTTGTGTATTCGTCTGATATACATAAAATGTTATCGTTTGAACGTGCTCGCTAACGTCATCCTTATGCTGAGTAGTAAAAAGTTGAAGGTGTGGCGCCGAAAAACTCACTAGGTGACGTTACACTGCTGTTTACAGTGAAAATATTGATTTGGAAACCATATGAAAATCAGGATATAATACGTAATTAAAATCAGCGACATAAGAATTTCAAAGTGAGAAAAGTTACGCTTGAAATTTCTACCTACAGGTGTCTATAAGTGTAAAATGACCTAAAAATAATGTTTTGATTATTATCAAATAATTAAAGGCTTCTGAAAAAAAAAAAATCCTGTTGTACTAACATAATCACGTCCACATTTGGTCTCTGATAACAATAACTATGTCACGTTATAATTACGTTATTAAGCCTGTCATCTCAGTTTTTGAAACCAATAGTTATTTTCTGCTGTAGTTATTGAAAACTTCTTTTTTTTCTCCCTATTTAAAAACAAAAAAATTACATCCTGTAGCTTAATTCCTTTTTTCACGACGTCCGACAACAATGATTTCGCCCTACTGATTATATTATCAATATTATCACTTCCATGTTAAGGAAGTTTGACAACAATTGTCCTGCCATGGTGATTATGTTATCAAAATTGTTACTTCCGTGTTCGCGATGTCTCACAACAATAGATATACCTGCTGGTTATATTATCACTTCTATTTTCACGATGTCTCACAACAACAGTTATACATGCTGATTATATTATCACTTCCATTTTCACGATGTCTCACAACAATAGTTATACATGCTGATTATATTATTACTTCCATTTTCACGATGTCTCACAATAATAATTATACATGCTGATTATATTATCACTTCCATTTTCACGATGTCTCACAACAATAATTATACATGCTGATTATGTTATCACTTCCATTTTTACGATGTCTCACAACAATAGTTATGTTATGACAACTCTGTAGACAGTTCATTGATCAGGCTTTTCTTGAACAAAAGTTTAATATTATTTAGAAAGACAAACGGACAAAAATTTTACACGCGAAGATTTAGTTAGTTTGTTTGTTTGTTTTGGCCCTCCAGTAGCACAGCGGTATGTTTGCGGAATTACAACGCTAGAATCCGGGTTTCGATACCCGTGGTGGGCAGAGCACAG